CACCATAATGTTTTTTTGGGGTGGGGGGAAGCAGAAGCTGCTCGTGATGCCCTTGAGCTCCTGGGTGCCCCCAGCCTCTCCCCTCAATCCGCGCCGTGTCCCGGAATGTGCCGCGATGTCCGGTGGGATCCTTGGGATCCTCCCGACCCTCCGTGCTGCTCCTTGTCCCCACCCGGACCCATTCCAGCCCGGAATTGTCCCCGCCGCGGTAGCACTTGGCCTTGCTCATTGTGGTCCTCCCTATGGGGGATTGGAGCCCCCCATTCCTTTGTGTCCCCGGCGCCTCCCGGGCGGAGAAATTTCCGGAGAGATCAAAAGCTTCGGCTTCCTCTCGCTGCCACCTGGGGCAGATGGCATCTCAACTGTCGCTGGTGGCTTTGTCACCAGCGAGGAGGAGGAGGAGGAAGGGCAGACTGCGCTGCCTGGCTGTTATCCAAGGAGCACCCCCAAAATCCCATCCTTGGCATCCCGGGAATGTGCTGGGCCTTTAGATGTGGCCTTAAGGGACCTGGTCCAAATGGGCTCGGATAGGAGCCGGGATCTTCTCCCCTCCAAGGTGGACAATATCCGGATCTCCTGGCGCGACGGCACCCGGACCACGTTTTCCCATGAGGAGTTTGGGTTTGGAGTGAGGGGCATTCCGTTTTTTGAGGCGTTCCCATCCGCTCCGGGCTCTTCCTTCTCCCCCTCCATGGGATGGGCCGGAAAAAAATGATGGGAGAAGCTGGGGCTTCTCGGAGCCTCTTTATCCCACCCTGGTTTGGATATTGGAGCCCAGGAAGGTTTGGAGGGCGAAGAGGGAATGAGGAACCGTCACCGGGGGAATCCGCAGGGGCAAAATGTGGCAATTGGGGCAAAATGTGGCAATTGGGGCAAAATGCAGCGTTTTGAGGCCGTTTCTCTCCCCGCAGTGATCGACTGTCCCATCTGCAAACATCAGTGTTACTTGAAGGACATCGTGGAAAACTATTTCTTAAGGGACAACGGGACCGATGACAACCGCAGTTCGAGCCAGGTGAGACCCCCGCGCTCATTAATGAGACGCTAACGAGTTGCTTTTAATGTCGCAGGAGCCCAAATGATCTAATTAGGAATAATTGCGTTGTATTTCTTCTTGGGTTTATTGCAGTGGGCCTAGGGTCAATTATACCCCTTTTCTGGGTGTGTTTTGGGGCAGCTGAGCAAAACTGGAGCTGTTTTGTGCTTGTGCTAACAGCTAAAAAAAAAAAGCGA